AACTCCAGACATCCAGAGGCCCCCAGAACACAAGAGACCACGGAAGACCAACAGAGGGGCAGCCGCGCCACTGTTCCAGTAAGAGCTGAGGAGAGTCCCAGATGAGGGCTCGCCCAGCAGCCGCGGAGCAGAAGCCAGGGGGAGTTGCAGTGACGCGCCCGTGAGCTCCGCCGGCCCCCAGCTGTGCCTGAGTGACCGAGCCCCAGGCCGAGAGGCCGGGGGCACCCCACCTCCAAAGGGGGCCCGAGCGAGCCCCAGGCCCCAGGCCCCGACAAGCGGCCGCCAAGGAGTGAGCCGGTGTGTACCCGGACGCCCACCCCCAGACACAAAGAACCACCAGCACACCGACACCTGAGGGAGTCCGCCACCGGCAGGGGAAGTGGTGGTGGGTAGAGATAGGCCTCCAAACCTTGGAGGGCCTGAGGTGTCCCCAGAGAGGTGGCGTCTGATACCCAACCTGACATATAGACACAGACATACAGGCACACACAGACACAAACATCCATTCCCACCCTCATGCTCTCATGTGCACTCACTCCACACTCAACCAACGTGGAGAAGACATAAAGAGACGCTGTACACACATCACACTCCCCAAGCGTACTCTACAAACCGGGTCTAGGTACCCTTGCCCCTGGAGGGGGGAATTGCACCCAGACCCAGGTGGTGTTACCCTTTTCCCTGCGGTGGGGAGAGGCAGACCACCCCGACTCCGCAGCAGCAGGGAGGCCCCACACCCCAGACCGCAGCCGGACGGCCAACTCCTCCTACTAGCCCTCCCGCTCCAGCAGGCCGCAGAGAATGGGGGTGGGAGAAGACTCCAATCACTATCCTAACATAGAAACATACATGGATTGGATACTTCAGTAGGTACACCTATTCAAATTGTCGTTCATGCAAATAACTAATTAGCCATTAACATGGGAGCAATTCATTGGGTTTAGGAATGTACGCATGATCAAGGCGACCTGCTGAAGATCAAACCAGACGTCAAAATGGGAAACAAAGGCGATATAAGTGACTTTGAACATGTCATGGTTATTAGTGCCAGATGGGTGAAAAAGTATTTTAGAAACCGTTGACCTACTGGGATTTCCCCTCACGAATATGTCTAGGGTTTACTGAGACTGGTCTGGAAAAGAGAAAATATCCAGTGAGCAAGAGTTCTCTGGGTGAAAACGCCTCTTTGATGCAAGAGGCCAGAGGAGAAGGGCCAGGCTTCTTTGAAGTGTTAGGTAGTCAACTCGACAGCTAAGGTATGGAGAAGATAAACCTTAAAGCAAATGGGCTAGAAGTGGAAGAGTACACCAGGGACACAGTTTTGGCATCATGAAAGCATGGATCCATCCAACCATCCATTCATCCTTCCATCTATCCGTCCTTCATTCCTTGTATGAACAGTTCAGGTGGGATATATTCTTGGCACTCTGAGCCCTTAGTACCCATTAAGCATAGTTTAAACACCACAACCATGCTGACTATATCTATCCCTTTATGATCACAGCTTACACCATATCCCAAAATTCAGCGCATCTCATAAAGTTTTTTGAACCAGCCAATGATTTCACCGTACTCAAACGACCTCCACAGTGACCTTATCTCACTCCAATAGAGCACATTTGGGATGCGGCGAAACAGCAGATTTGGATCATGCATGTACAGAAATCTGCAGCAACTGTGTGATTGTGTCGTGTCAAGATTTTATATTTGTAATCGCTCAGTGGGAGAGGAAATGATAGTCGCAAAATGCAGAAATACAAAATAAACTGGAAATGTGTTTTTTCAGTGTTGTTTTAAACACCAGTGGTTGTCCAGAATTTCACAACTGGTACAATTTTACTGAAAACATAACGCAGATGGTTAGATTAACTCAAACTGAGGTCTAAAACGGTTTCTTTGCTGCTTTGGCAACAGCTAAATCATCACCCTCCCACCACAGTCTCCGAGGTCACATCGTCTGCTTTAATCTGTTAACTCCTCAAAGAAAACTTGAATACCACCTTTGAATTGAATAGCGAGACATGTGGTGGTGGGAATAGACTTGCTTTCAGCTAGAACATAAGGCCCCTACAGGGACAGTCTAATTATTCACTTATTTCATGTAATTCAGCTCAAGTCCTGTGCACAAAAAATCTGACTGCTGAAGGATGGTTTGATGATTAAGTCCTGTGGCTTGATCCTTGACATATTTGATATTTTCTATTTGTTTAAGCCCTATTTTAAGCTATTCATCCTCAGCATGATATTATGACTCAATGAACTTGAGATCTGCATTTTTGATTGTTTATTTATTTTGTTTATTGCTGCATTGGTAGCAGTATTCTCATCCTTGTGTTATGGAGCAACATTATCATTTCTTTGAAGTGTTTCTGGCCACCTGGCAAACCTGTCTCCATTGACTCCACTAACTCCTGAGGGAAATGCCTGGCTCTTTAGCTGCTAAATGCTTCAACTAGGTTCGCCAGCTTGCTGCTAACTCTGTCTGTATGCTGCATTGTGCTGGGAAAGCGACTGTCTGGTTGTTTTTTTTTTGTTTTTTTTTAGGAGTTCTTCCCCCCTAAAAATCAGCTTCCTGTTGTAGCTGCAAATGCTACTAAGAGAAAAGAAATTGAGGAAAACTGTAAGGGTCCATAGATAGGTAATTCTTTCAAGGTTAATCACATCATAGATAGATGTGATCGCCCTAATGTTTTCACTTACAGTTATAGCTGCTTTAAAGTGCTCTTTTGGCACACACATAAGCAATCAAAGTTAGTGTAGTGCTCCTGACAACATGACGTGATCTGATTTAATACATATCAGTGTAAAAGTTTACATCAATGCCTGAGTTCAGTTCAGTTTTATTTATGTAGCTCCAAATCAAAACGACATCGACACACTTTATATTATAAGTTAAAGACCGCACAATAATACAGAGAAAAGAAGTGTTAGTCAAAAAGAAGCTCTATTACAGGTGGTAATAAATACAAAAAGTCAGCAGTCATTGAAGAGGTAGAGTAGTGATCACTACACTACCTCTTCAATGACTGCTGTGCCTAAAATGTAGCCTAGGGTTGGTGGGTTGTTCTTAAAAGCTTTTAGCAACCAGGTAACAACGCTTTGAAAATAAATATGAGCAGCCATCAGGAGGAGTGGATAACAGGGGAGAAATAAGAGAGACTGAAGATAGAAACTGTAGTGTTTGGGTTCACTAGCAGGGCATGAACTCGGGGAGTATCAGTTATCCAAAAAAAGTAGCAGAATTCTGAAGATGAACAAGAAGGGTCTAAGGGCAGGTTGGATTTGAAGGAGTTTGTTGGGTTTTTTTTAGGTACTTCATGATTAAGGGGCTCATCGCTGCTGTCTGTAAGGTCATATTGTGGGCATGTGGTTTGGTGGGGAAAAGAGCAACTCAGAAGGACTGTAGGTAGGCTTCAGAGTTTCAGGGGAAGGAAAAAGTGGAATTCACTGTTGATGGCTTTGACATTTAAAGCACGAGGCTAATAACTTTGGGATTTGTGAAGATGCTGAAGATAAACAAGCTTTCACCTCCACTGTCCTGAAAAGAAGGAAAACTGTTGAAAAAGAATGGTTTTGTCAGCAAAAGTGTCACGAACTATTCGCTTAAATGAGACCAATTAAGCTTGTTCTGATTTTCTGATTTACAATTAGGTAAATACGTTTTTGGGATGGATGTAATTTTGCCTCACACAATGAGGTTTGACTGAAGTTTAGAGTTACAGCTTTTATTCAGGGAGTTTAACAAAAGCATTGCGTTAACTGTTACGAGGAGGACATTAGCTATAATGGACTCTTTCAGATAGAGGAGGATGACCTGCACCAATACCCAGTGTAAGCTGATAATGCTGTATTTTGAACAACTGATTTTGGATATCTACTCTAGGAGTTAGGGTTGGTGTTTGCTATTTATACTTCGTCATTTGGTCTTTGCTTGAAGACCAAACGGCTGTGGATCAAAAGCCTCGTACTTAATTTAAAGCTGCTCTAAACGAAATAAAAGGCAAAAAAACAAACGAACATACCTTGAAAGTTGTACGCTCTCTTTCTGCAGCTTTTCCTCTCCTTTCTCATTTTTGTCACTAGATGAGGGATTTTAATTTTCTAAAAGCCAGTCATTTCTGACTTTTGACTTTTTGTGCCAGTCAAACCGCTTCAGAGGACCTTTGCTTAATCCATTGTTTGTGTTTACCTCCTTCACACTATATCCTTACATGCAGCTCATCGAATCTAGTCTGAAAAGATGTGTGATTTGCCAAAGAGCTTGGCTGTGCTGAAGCCTGTAAAACTGCTTCAGATGAGGTACAAGAGTCTTTCTCCGAACCTTTGATTTACACTAGGCTGAAAGTTTATAATGGATTTTTTTGCCCACTCATTCCAAAAGCAGGTTGCCTATCTTGCCTTTAAGAAAAGTGAAGTCAAATTCTGGAGTACTGAGAGAGATAGTCACTAATAGTTTCTAATTTGGGTTCTCACGGTTGATTTAACCCACTGTTTTACCCTTGCAGCATTGTTGGCAATAAAGGAGTAAATTACATACAATTTTAATAACACATTGAAATGCACATAAATGACCAAATCAGTGAAGCGTACTCCATAACTGGGAGCTAGAATTTGTGTGTAGGCTGGAAAAGAGAAACCGGTAGGCAGTCATGATCACTAATGAGAAATTAATAGGCCTCAGCTTTGTCAAGTTAGGACTTGGACTTTTTAAAAAAAAATTAAAGATATTTGCTGTACAATTATTCCACCATGGAAAAAGAACACTGAAGAAATCGTTAAAAGCCCCAAATTACCATAGCGTTCAGGCCCATGATGAGTCTGTGTAAATGTCTAACACACTCACCACTGCTGTACATGTAGTAGTCCAACTTTAAAGTCTTGAGACGTCTATGGTTTGGGCATTGAACATCGATTTTGATTTATTCCGACTGTTCCTCTGAGGGAGTGAATATGCCTTGCTTCCTTAAGGTAATTGACAGATGTGTTCTGTGTCCCCGCAGGTTGAGGTCATTATTCGTGGCAGGAGAGCGATGTGATGTGGAGACCCTGCAATGGGCAAAAAGGAACTTTGGAGTTCCTGTTCTGGATCACTGGTGGCAAACTGGTAGGAAGAATTTTACTTTCTAAAGACGGAAGCAAAAGAAAGCAAGAGATTTGAATTGGGGAAGGATATTTTTATCTTCGTGACAGACTGGATATAAACTGAACTGGGGAAGCTTCTTGCTAAATAATCTTGTTCCATGCATTCCCTTTAGGCCAAGGTTTCATGTTGAACAGAAACCGGAAAACTGAAATAGCTGGCTCATTCTTAAACATCACTCACTGAGCTGTGCAGCAACCCTTTTATTTCTTGGGCCTGTATCATCACAGGACGGCCAGGCTGGCATACAAAAGTTAACTTCATAGACTTAATACCCCTGTTTCTTTTTGTTTTTTTCTTCTTTTGTGGTTGAAGTCAAAATTGTTAAAACATTTATCTTTTACCATATGCTCTGAGTGAACTGCAGTTTTAATTATGCCATTATATGAAGCTAAAAAGCACTTTTTTCTTAAAATTTAGGGACAAAGTCCTTTTTGATATGGAAAGGATTTCAAAGACTTGAAGTTCTTTATTAGCATGAACTCCATGAGATGATGTAATTTAACTTGATCTTTAAGAATCAGCCATTCTTTAACATTATCTGCTTGAGATGACTATAAATGTGAGCTTTCCTGTATTTTATTAGCGCCTTGACATTAACTTGACCTCGAGCGAAGGGCTACTCCAGAAAATCACTATTCCCCAAAATGCCTGCTGACATAATTTAGCACATTTTTATCACACTTTCCTCTGTGATTAATCCTTTGTACGGTTAGTATCACAGTTTGGGGGATTAGACCCTCTCTGATGGGGGAACTGTAGCACTTTAAGCTTGAAATTCAAGCTTTTCTGGGAACCCATCATCACTCTAGTGATATGGCATCATATACAGCAAAGGGATTTATAGACATGATAGTCAGATAAATGGCTTGGAGGGTTAAGAGAGCAGTCAAAAAATGTCATTGTTGCATTTATTATTGTATTTTTAACATATTCAAAGTGAATCAGATAACATATGACAGTTGTGCCCATTTTATCATATGTATTTACCAAGGCTGAGTTCATTACTTGCTATAATAGTTGTAATTCTGATGGGACTATAAGATTCTCTTTTCTCAAGTGGTCACATTGCCAAGCAGCACTGACACAAGAAGCTTGGCTGATGTGTCCTTATAACTTATTTTACTTTGCACTGATATGTAGGGTGCCCAGATATCCCTCTTTAAATGAGACTGCACAGCAGTTATATCCCCCCCCCCTTTCCCGTCCCACATCTTAAGACAACGTTCCACATTTTGACTGGCCCTGGAGGGCATGCACTTTTCTTAAAGTCTGTTTTTTACCATTGCATTTGAAGGGAAGTCTATTTATTCTAGTCAAACAGTGGTTAGCCTATTCGGTGCTATGTCCTGTGAAAGCCACAAATCGCAAGTTAAAGTTACAGATTTTGTTGAATATGATTGGTTATTCACGCATGAGAAAATATTGTGTGAAGTGACACAGTATATGCATGTCAAACTTGGCTAAAAATTGTTCAAATAGGCTTACTTTTCTGAGCTACTTTTTCGCTGAAACTGTTACACTGTTACCAGGCATAACAGCAGCTGAAATAACAGTGAATTTATAAGAGAAAATGGGACTATAAGAACAAATGTCAGCTTATTTTCTTATTTTACTTGCTGAGGGAGAAAGTTAGAAAAGCTAAACTCAAATATAGTATATTTGACTACCTCCAAGCCTTGTTAATACATCCTACTTTGTTCTACAAATACTGTTTGTCTCACATTTAACTTGTTGGGATGTGTTGTGGTCACTATACCCATCTGGGATCCTGAGATGTGAGGACTGATCTATGCGTTTAATGAAGAGATAAAGAGGAAGGAAAAGAATCAGGGGGATGGTGTCCATCTGTTCAGGGGTGTAAATTCAAATTGCTTTTTAGCTGAAGCATGCTTTGAGTTAGACAGCTTAATGCTGAGTCTTTCTGTTTGTTGGTGCACACTTTATAATAATACATATACATAAAACAAGATTGAACTGATCGTATTGATTTTTCATTTAAACATGAATGTAGGAATTTGTGGTTAGTCAGCCCTGGTGCAAAGGGCTTTTCACCTGGGTCTATCTGAAAATTTCCATTTTCATAGTCAGTTACTTTGCCGCTTTGTACTTTGGATTAATGGTCTCCCCAGAAAGGTGAATTCTGATCATCATTTTTTAAAAGCTTCATATGTCCTTTAACTTCCTGGGTGGAGTTTGTGGTTTTTGAAAGAGAGCACAGGCTTCCTTTCTTCATCTTCCAGTTAACCTGTGGCACACCGTGACTGTTGTTATTCAGGGGAGTAAGATATGTAATTGAACTCTTGAGTTCTAGCTCTCACTGCACTGTTTCTTTTGTATTGATTCTTCAATGAGAAAGACCTTATTAGCTTTTTGAGTGGGAGGCTTGAATCCACGCAGCATGCTAATGTCATGTCCTCCATCACACCCATCGTTTCATTTCTTTAGTTCTCTTGAACTAATGAACTATGATAAATATCGTCAGCCACAGTGACAGAACACAATTATTATTATGCCGCTTTGTTTTTTAATATCTTGTCAGCACGGATGGGGGATCGATGTTGGAGAAGATGACATCCCTGTGTTAAATATGGAATCAATACTGTGGCTGAACTGTGGGGAAACCATTGACCTTCAGCGTTGGTACATGCAGGGCACTCCAATCTAAGAACAGATTAGCCTGCTTGGTTGATTGTGTTGTCCAGCATGAATTGAAATGTAAAGAGCTTTACATTTTGTGTCATAGAATTGTGAGCTATTAAACTGAGGTCATGGGAGTTTCTCCAACTACTCAGCATGTTTTTGGGACTTGGAAAAGGCACATTTGTTCTTGGGGTTTCCTAATGGGGGGTACATTAAACGTTTAAGATATCAGGCCTTTTGCTGTTGTTTTTTGTTTCCATAATTACAGTGATATGGATTCAGTAGTGGTCTATTATGATGAAGAGACCAAAAGATCATAAGGGTTCATGGGCTAACCCATAGTGATGGAATGAGAAGTGCAGTTAGTCAGTGTCTTTTGACTGGGAGGTCTGAGTACGTCTGCTTAAACTGCTGCCACTGTGCCCAAGATCAGAATAGATTCCACAAATTGTAGTTTGAGTCCATATTGTTGAATTTTGGTATGCCCACATTTCAAAACCTTTTGAACACCCCCAGAATAGCTGTTCCTTTCCAAAAACCAGTCGTGTCTTGCCAGAAGAATTTTGAGCCTTTACACACCTCTCCTCACAACAAACTTTCCAAGTAATTCAGCCTGTGCTGGCTATGGGTAACTGGTGAATAAAGAGTAGAACAACATCTTGCCTAAAGGCAAAAGCAACTTTAGGATTTAAGTAATGAAAGCCTTGGCTGGGAATCCACAGTATGTCTGTTTAATAATGTAGTGAAGCTTTGTGCATCACATAAAGATATATTTACATTATTTAAAACATTCTATATACAAACAGTGCATTGCTTGCCAAACCTCACCCTGTAAATTTTGTTTACCACTGTGATTGATTGTCTGCAATTTAAGATAACCTTTAGGGGCACCTTTGCTTTTGTTAGGCAGAGGAGCATTCAAATATGCCTGTATTTTTTTGTCTCAGTACAGATAGCGTGCTTGATTTGGGGAGGCAGCCTGCATTCAGTCTAGACTGGGTTTAATGATGGGTACTCTCTTGGGTGGTGACCTTCCGATCCCAGTACTGGGCAACAGTTTCATATATTGTCGGTTATTGATTAGCACAAGGGCTGCATCGGTACTGGATCCCTTCTCTATGGTATTTCTGTTCTTAGTTTAAACACTCATAGACTCACATTTTTGTAGCATAAAGCTTTGCATCAGTATTTATTGTTCATATCGCCAGTGTGGAAGTTGAAGGGTAACGAAGAAGTAGCAGTAATCCACTGCCAAACACAAGCATGATGCTCACGAGCATTCTGCTGTCATCTTATGTAGCTGCTTTCCCTTTTATTTGTATATTAAAACCTATTGCTCTCAACCTATAGGTCCATCTCTGACTGGCAGTGCAGAGTGTTGAACCAAAACAAACACTCACTATCAAATATGTGTTGTGCAGAGCTGTTGATTTCCATCTTCCTCTCTGTAGCCTTAGTGCTTGAGAGACAGCATTGCATTCCACTTGAACATAAAGGGTGTTTGTATCAGTCAAGTTTAAATCCCACTTCCTTTTCTCTCCCTCACACACACATGCACGCACCAAAACAAAATCCTGTCACGCTCCGTGGCTATCCGAGCCAGGTGATTTATTGGGTTTGGAGAAAAACCTCTGGCGCCCTCTTGATTTCTGTCTAGATGTGTAAATCCCATTGGATTCTTCACCCCCTGCTAAACTCAATAACTGGCAGCTGGTGGCCAGCACTGCAATCCAAATGTGTTCTCCACTTTTTCACGGTAGAGTGGGTCACTCCCTGTCTCACCCTCTTTCTCTTTGTGTGCCAGGGACTGTTTGACTAGAAGCGTGTGGGTTAAAGAGACACTGCCATCACATACATATGCATTAAATCATCATAGTTTGTCATTTTGTCTTGAGGCTGCAGTTGATTTTTTTTTTTTTTTTTTTTATCTGTCTGAGCTGAACACCTTTTCAGTTTTTATTTGAGCAGCAGTTGCTCTGAAGAAATTAAAACCAACAATTATATTAACACACTTGGGTATTGCATAGCCTGATACAACATATATAATGTAATCTATATACATATAATATAATTTAATATAATATACAGTGGAACCCTGACTTATGAAATTAATTCGTTCCCAAAGGTTTTTCGTAAGTCGAAGCACCCATTGCGCGTTTTGAGTGAGGCGATGCTGAACGATAGGCTATAGGTTAATTGCTAACTAGAACAACAATACGTCATTCAAGTGGAAGAGCGAAGGGCAAGTACGGAAGCCAAGGGGTTGTCACATGATTCAGAAGGCATTGTGGGCATTGTAGGCTCAGCCAATCAGAGCCAGC